TATGGACGGAAATGAGTGTCTACAATTCATAAAGATTTTAATAAATTGAAAATAAAACTCAACAAAATACAAATTATAATAAAATATTGTGTAGGATCTTACACCAACGAAATTTATCTATTCTAAATTACTTATGAAATAAAAATAACGTTAAATTCATCAAATTAGATGTATATAAAATTGAATTAACTCGAGCTATAATTTTATATTTATTGATGTATTTATATTATGTATGAGTCATGCATTCAATATATCATCTATTAATTTGTTTTATTTTATGATGTGTTGTGTTAAATTTTATTATATCGAAGTATGCAAGTCATAGGTTATTTATTGATGGTCACTTGTCGAGGTGTTCTTCGCGACCACTTAGGTGGATGGGTGTACAGAATCTCCACGTTCATAGGTTGTTGCTCTGTACTTGATTCGGAGTTACGGGGTATCTATGAAGGTTTGTGTTTGGCGTGGATTTTGAATATAAATGAGATGATTGTTGAGGTGGACAGCAAATAGGCACTGGCGGTTATTGCTAAAGATCCGAGATTCAATGGTGCTTCTTCCCTTGTTCCACATATCTATGAGCTGTTGAATAGAGAATGGAGTTTTTCGTTCCGTTTCGTGCCTCGTGAAGGCAACAAGGCAGCAGATAATATGATTAAAATGGTTTGGAGTTTACCTTCTGGGTTTCAGATGTCAGACCCCTCCCTCGACTATTGAAGGATTGCTACATGATGAGAGTTTCATGCAAAAGACTCTGCTTGGTGGAAACTAGGCATTTCTATTAGATTACACCAGCTTTGTTTTCTCACTCTTTATTCAAAAAAAAAAAAAAAAAAAAGGCTACGCAAGTCAATATACATAGTCCTCAATCTATTCAGGATTAAGGTAAATATATTTTAAACATGACAAGTGAATTTAATCTTTAAATTAATTTAAGAATATCAATTTATCTTAGATCTAATCTAATATAATGTCAATTTCAGATTAATAAATCTACGTCTTTACTTGGAAGTCAAAACATATTTCGATAATCAAGACAATTTATCTTCTTGTTTGAATTTTAGACAACATAATAATTATTGTATATTATATATTCGTCATAAATTGTATGAACTACAAACATATTTACATGACCAACTAATATAAGTTCTCTTTCATATTATAATCAACATTATAATATTATTTATATTTAGTTAAATCTCATATAATAAATGAATTGATATTTTGTTATCACTTTATTACTTTACATGTAATATCAATCACGAGGACAATGTGCATAATAAAATAGTATAAAAATATTAAAGTTGAGTTTAGTAGTTATAAAAGTTACCTCATTTAGTGCACAAAACTCCAACAAAATATTATCTTGAAAAGACGAATAACATATATTGAAATTGGTCTTATCAAATGACTATAGAAAGAAATAAAAACATTAGGAAATCAAATCTTTAAGTGTATTTTCTTCGATTTTTGAGTAAAATTTATAGAAAATCAAATCAAAAATAAAAACAATAAGTGAAACACAAACGATTTAGTATCAATCTTGTCGTGAATATCATCCATTGAGGAATATGGACCAAAACTTAATAATTTTATTAAAAGAAAGAAAGAAAGAAAGAATCAGAGACGTCATCACATCTTTCACAATTTAATGACCTAATAATCTAATTGAACCTAAAATCAAACTTAAGTAATAAAATCGATAAAATCTTAATGTTTAAGGACTATCGGTGTAGTTTAACCTAATTATTAATAAGTTTTTAAAATTTACATTATTATTGGAAACTACCATGAGCCATTGGATACATAAAAGACAATATTGCCCGTTGGATCAAAAGTGATATAAAATCCAAATATCACAAAACCATACGGTGTCTTCACGGCGGCGCCACTCTGCTTCTTTCTCTGTCTCTCTAGTTTTGTCTCGTCCAAACAATCCGATTTCTATTTCTCTGACAACTCGACCCGAATCCGGAAAGATCCAAATAGAAGCCAAGTTCCTTCGTCCAGGTAGGAATGGCCATTTTGCATTTAATTTAATTTCATTTTTCCATTTTTTTTATAGTTTTGATTTGAGTGATTAAATAAATGTCAGAACTGTTGCTTTTTGTTCTGATTTCTTCTGCTTGAATCTTCAGATATGGCAGAAGAAATTAACAAATCTGTAAGAATCAATCTTTCTCTTGTTTTGTTTTCTCTAGACAATTCGTTATTTGATTTGATTGCCGGCAAAGTTGAAAATAAGTGAGGGGAGATCTCAAATATGTTAATGATTTGTGTTGGATAACAGGCGTTTATAGAGATTCAAGGTCGAATGGTTGAGCTCACCGGCAAATTAAAACAGGTATTTTTTTTTCAGATTAGTAGTCTATAGGTTACTCGAACTTTTCATTTTTTTTACCAAATTGCTTATGCCCCATTTATGATCGTACCTGACATATACTTTTAGGACATTCACATCAGAATATGTTTAACACTGTTAGTATTACCACTCTGTCTTGATGGTTTATGTGTCCAATATTTTCTTCATTGGCCGAAGATTTTATCTCATAATTATTGAACAGAGGAACTAGTAGAAATGGATTGAAACAGGGACTTGTTTTCTCTCTATCTCTCTAATTATATCTAGCAAGTGTTCTGCAGAGCTAACTCACACTTCCTACTTTTTGAGGGGTAAAGTAAGAAAATGCTCAAAGTTATATTTAATGAAGTATAATCTTTGGTTACATAGCAAACAGAATGCCATTTTGATCTTGAACCCTGGATGATTGCAATCAGAGTTGGAAATGTAGGTTCATATTTGAAGTTTTTTTTTATTTTAAATTTTGGCGTTGGTGTTTTTGGCTGGGACCTGGGATAGGTGTTGTTGAAGATTGGGGGTGTAATTTAGCAAGCTTAAACTGTAACAAGGTTGAGCTTAACTTGAAATTTGAGTCTTGAAAGTTGGTTCAAGTCGATTGAGTTTCATTTTTAAAGCTCGAGTTTGATTCAAAGATAAAAATTGAGCTAGTTGCTACCGCCTGCTTAGGCTCAATTCCTTGGTAAAAAGATGAGCTTGTCTCTCATCCTTGACTTCAAACTTGATTATTTATGTTTGAGTTTGAATTGAGATTTCTCGTACTTATAGGGAAAAAAAAAAAAACTTAATTTGGCCTGCAAGTACCTCGAGTTAAGAATTAGGATATTTGAAGACACGAGATCTGTTGAGTGCATGTTTAATCTACCATGTGTGTGGTGCTCAACGCCTATGCTACTCAAAACTTGGATGTAAGTGTTATTGTTAAACACATGTATGAATGTGTCTGACACAAAAAAATGTATGAGTGTGTGTGTGTGTGTGTGTGTATTTTATCAAAAAAATGTATGAATGTGTCTGACACAGGTATTTTCAACTTTTTCAAGTTTCCATGTGTCAGAAGGCCATATCCCTATAACTATATTCAGATATTTATCGGACAAGGATAACAGGAAAAAATAAGGATACCTATAGAAAAATGAAGAGTCGAAGCAACAAAGCTCGACCCTTTTTTAAAAAATCCCAAAAAAAAAAGTGTTATGTGCAAGAGCGGCTGTTGTATAATTTATGTGAGTTTTGTACCCAACTAAAATTTTCTCCAAACTGGAGACTTGTGAGATATCTTTAGCCTCTGATGCTGAGGTGAGTAAATCCTATGACTTCTAGGTGCAAAACCAGATGCGAACCAAGGAAGGTGAAAAGAAGCGTGCTTTCTTAACATTGGAGGAGCTGAGTCAGGTGCCTGATGATACAAATACATACAAATCCATAGACACAATACTGAAGCTGTGTTTTTGAATCAGAATAGGATGCTAGTTTTGTGTTCTCTTATTCACAATGGATAAAAAAAAATTCTCATATCACGATGCTGGGTTCAGACTTCTCTTTAGTTTCACAGCCTGGCATTCTGTTTAGGGGTGTTTCATATGTTGCGACTTATGAGCTGCTATTTAACCTAGGGGTGATGACAGTTTTGGGATAAAATCATGGTTAATGTGCAGTATTCTGGTTTTCAAAACCGAACTGAATGCACTGGATTAGTTTGGCTTGTTATTAAAAAGTATATATATATATATAAATATATATATTTATATATATATATATTAAAATCTACTAATCTAGATCGAACATATTTATTTTTATATCTTAATTTTTTCTAAAAATAATTAGAAAAAAAATAAAATTTGAATTCGGTTTGGTTTGACCCATTTCAGTCTTTTAACTTCTGAACTGAAAACTGAACCTAACCAAAGTATTAAGTGTTACCCAAACTGAAACCGGACTGAATTAATAGAAACTGAGACTGAATACTACAGTTTGAATCAGTTTTCTGCTCCGCCCTAATTTTTACATGGATTAAGATTGATTGTGCCAGATCTGCAGAGCTATAACCTGTTTGTTTATTTTTTGCAGGGAGAACGTGAGTAGCTGTTGACCTAATTAAATGGTTATAATGATTCATGGACAATGAGAAAGAATACATGAAATGAACTGACAGACATTTTATTTGCCTCTCTTTTTATCCCCTGTTCAGGTTTGTTTTAGAGCCTAAGGCAGTTTTAATGAATGAACAAGAACAGAAGCTGAAAGATAGTGAGTCTGCAATTGGTTCATTACAGGTAATTTTCTGTGTCGTGTATAGCTTTTTGTCTGCATCTTCTCTCGACTCATTTGTTTCTGTTTGTCTGTTCCCCCCCCCCCCTTTTTCAACTGTTACTTTTCTCTTTCATGTCTATAACTAATTTAACTAGCCCTTCTGTTGGATATTTTACTTATTTATAGATATCACAAAAGCCTGCTAAAAGGATATATTTGCACAATATTTAATCGGTGATGTTAAGGCGTGCAACAAGCTGTTGTGTATTAAGAAAAGCGTCTTAGACCTTTTTTAGGGCACATTTTGATTAGGCGAATGCCAGAAGCTCCTACCTTTTTTTAATTATTAATTCTATTTTTACTGGCAAAAAAACATATAATATCAAACTTTCTACTTTGTATTTGAGTATTAAAAAACAGACAAGGGATCATAAGGAAATATTAAATGAAAGGAAAATTTTGCATGTGTTGTAAAATAAACAGGACCTGGACCACTTTTACTGTTTAATATCATAATATATATATATATATATATATATTTTATAGAAGTTGGAGATCTCATTAAAAACTCCCTTCGTATTCGTTCACATACTAAGAAGTATGTTAGCGAACATTGGAAGGAAGAAGAGAGTACCTCATGGTTTATTAATAATAATACCCAATACATAAAGACAACACGAAATATCCTCCTATGGTGATATACACCATTACAACAAACACCTTAAACTCACACATCCTCATCCAAAAGCCATAGTCGACTATCACCTTATTTCAAGTTACACATCCAGCAATAGGATAAAAAACAACGCAGAAGAACATAATACAAAAGAAAAGTAACACCTGCAACCATTTAAACTAAATCAAAGCCACAATTGAAGATAGGAGATCTAATAAGATTCGTCTTCGTCAGGGGCCCAAGAGTTTGGTTTGAATGAAGTCTCAATCTCATGCACCATGATTTTGAAGGAGTTGTCACAGACCTTCAATTCCAACGTCGCATCAATTCTCACATCAGCCTTTGTGAGGACTTGGATTTTTGCCTGATCAAAAGATGATGGTGACTGACAGCTTTCGTCGATTGCTAATAAATAACCCCACTTATCTATAATGTTTTTGAAAGTATCCCAATTCCATGCGTGAAAAGGAACCCTCGCAAACTAACCATACTCGACGACACTCCACTACCAAACTCTCTAACCAAGCTTCGACTCTGGAGAACCACTTTGCGATAGTCTCTGATTTATCGTTCTTGACACTTCTCAATGAACCAGAGTCTTCGAAAATCATTAATACCGCATTTCCAGCAGTTCTCATTAAGGAGAAACCTGTGAGGCCCTTTGTTTCCATTTGTCTAGCGAGATGACTTATTTTGATAAAGTCCTTGCACCACCCCACTAGACATTTACTCAACACTTGAAGTTTTTCTTCGTCCATAACACCTTCAACTTCACAATGATTCTTCCTCGAATCACCTTCCATCCCAGAATTACGGTGAACAGTTGTAGTGGTCTTTCTCCAAAACTGACTTATATACATATTGCGCCTTGTTTCACTTAGATGAACACTTTTTTGGTGCACTATGACCTAGGCAATATAAAAGTTATAGCACCCAGAATATGCCTTATGCCTCTGTCAACATTGTATTGAATATATCACTGCCATGTTTTGCTCATGTTTTATTATATGGCATAACAACCACATGTTGAACTATTATGAGATTTGTTGTGATTTTATGGTGTCTATTGCTGTGATCTGTTGTGGCTTTTGTTTATTCTTAACAAAATTTGTAGACTTAATTTGTTATAAGAACTTTACAAGTTGTGGAAAGTACTCTCTTGTTTGTGCTCTTTAAGGTTTTACAAAACAGTAAGAAACAAAGAATAATACGAGTCCATTTTCTTTTCGTGAATATAATGTAATAACCAAATTTCAGTATGAAAATTTGTAGTTGATTACTTGGTAACTACTAATCGGTACTAATCTGTAGCCAGATAAAGTTTGGTTTTGGACAAGCTGACAAACTTCCTTCCAATGGATATAATAACAATAATGTTATTTTTTGGAGGGGCATTATTATTGCATGGTAATTGGTTTAAGAGCTGTAAAATAGTCAATATGGTGCTTTTACTTTGTTTTAGACATATGTGTCTGATGCATATCTTGGCATGCATATAAAACTATGACTCTTCTAGGATCCTCTAAATACTTGGAATAGCTTAGAGAAAGTTAAGCATATCTGTTTCGAGCATGAATGCTTGAGTCCAAGCAACATATAGGTGAAGTAAGCAAATATTTCCCTGCCTTGCCTTTCATTTGCATCTTCATTCTCATCTTGAAGCTGTTGGTGCTACTCTGAACATTTTTTACTGACTTTCAATTGAGATAATTAACCACATCATAAAGTATGCTGATTAGTGATGTAATCAGGGCAAGCCAAGCTTAATCTGTAAGAAGCTTGAGCTTGACTGGAAATTCAAGGCTTGAAGTTTGGCCTGAGCTGATCAAGTTTCATTTTTAAAGTTCAAGGTCGATTTTAGATGAAAATTGAGCTGCTCAAGTTCATTTTATTAGGCTATATTAAACTCGTTTACATAGTAAAAAATGAGCTAGATTCCTGAACTCAACTTCTAATTTGAGCTTAACTTTGAATTGAAATTTTTTAATACTAATTTAAGTTTAAACATATATTAAAGAAATTGATTAGGTTTATGAATTACTCGCGTATTAGTATTCTTGAATTTTGCTCGATAATGATTAGTTGAATTTGAGTTTCTATTAGTTTAATTCTAGTAGCTTGTGAGCATCTTGTTTGCACATGAAATGCTGATCCATTCACATTGAAAGTTGCCTAATTTGTTGAGTGAGTTTTTGACAGACCTCAAAGGAGTACATGGAAAAACAGCTGGCGGAGGTGGAGAACAACTTAAGAGAGCTGCTGCAACAAGATCCGGGTCTTGCTCGTCAGATAATGTCGATGAGTGTGTAATTCGATGCTCTTTTCTTATTGGAAACTTCCTGATTTATGGTGTTCAGTTGGTAGAACCGTGAATCTACATCAATTCATGCTTGTGTTCTGAATTGGCTAACATGGACTTAACTTTCTTACTCTTATCAATCTCTTTTTATGGGGTGGTTGCATTAAAAAATTAGATAACTTTTTAAATATTTGTTTGGTAATTCAGAAACCCTTGTATAAGGTGAAATCATATGAACCAAAGTTTTATTTTGTAATTTAGAAAATTTTGTCGATGAAAGGTTTGAAATTCCATAAAAACGGAAGCACAAGAGATAATCTGATGCACCACTGGAGATATTCGCTTTGTACAAGCTGCGGTTTTGGTATCAGTTCTTTATTTCTACTGAGCCTACACTGGTACATAATTTCTACTTTTAAACTATGTTTAGACTACTTAATATATTACGGATAACGTTAAATTATGATAAGATTATGTTGTTTAACTCATCAAATATAAAATTACCATGAAAAATACTTTTATTAATTTTTTATTTCAGGTTATTCAGCTTCATTGTTTTATTGTGATAAAACATCTTAATTGTTGATATATTGTGGTGCATTGCTATTCAATTTCGAACAATTAAATAAATTGTATATTAGTTAATCATAATTTTTTAGTCATTACAATTTTAAAATGGACCAAAAAATGGTTAAAATTTTGTTAAAATAGATATTTTCAAAAAAAAAAAAAAGAAGATGATCTAAATAAACATACTAACATTTTTTTAGAAGAAAATCATGTAATTCCAAATTTAATATTAATTAAGGTGCCATTTTTTTTATAACTTAAGAGTTAATTGCATCATATGTCCTCCAAACTGTAACCCTCATTGTAAATTGATCTTTAAGTTTTTGAATATTTTAATTTCATCCTCAAACTATGACTCATTCTAAACCAGTCCTTAAATTTTTAACATTCTAATTTTATCCCTAAACTATGACCTTTTTAAATTGGTCCCCAAACTTTTGAATATTCCAATTTCATTCACAAATTCATCCAAATATGTAATTAGTATTAACCATAATTTAACATCACTTTTGTTTTCTTTTTCAAACACATAATAATATAGTTTGGCCTAATGATTTCATTAACAAGGGATGTGGTTAGTACACACGTATAGTTTGGGACAAAATTGTAATGTTCCAAAAGTTTGGGGACCTATTTAGAATGAAGGTCATAGTTTGGGGATGAAATTGAAATGTTCAAAAGTTTGAGGACTAATTTAGAATTATAGTCATAGTTTAGGGATGAAATGGGAACACTTAAAAGTTTAGGGACCAATTAAAAATGAGGGTCATACTTTGAGGACATGTAATGCAATTAACTTTAATTAATAAATTATAATTATCATTAAATTTAACACTGTTATTAATATCACATTACATGATATGACGAAATCAACCAATAATGTGATGCATGACGAGCCAAACGACCATAAAGTACTGCTATAAATACCTTTAGGAATGTAAAATTATAAACGGTTAAATTTAACTTAAATCTTAATTTTATTAACATAACCATATTTAAAATGCTAAATACTTTATAAATAATTTGTTATACAATTTATTTTAAATAAAACAAACACTTTCATATTATATTCATTTTATTTTTACTATATCAAATTTATGTCGCTTTTTAATTATTTTTATATTATCTTTCAGTGAAATTAAAAAGCACGTCCGATAAATAAAAATAAAAAATTGTGCAACATATTTGTATCTATTTTATCACGATAGAACTTGAGATTTAAGAAAAATTCAAAGATTTAATAGTTAATATTATTAGGAAAAAATTGTTTCTACACTTGTATCCGGGTCACTTCATCAATTAAAATTTAAAGTTAAAAAAACCTTTATTTTCAATATATCCAGTTTTATGAAGAATTTTTATTGAGAACAATGAAAGCAACATGTTTTTCCTCCTAATTTTCACATTTCATTTTCTAAAATTTTGAAATTTTCAACTAAATATTTTCTTTAATACTTTCCACTTTTCAAGCAAACCAAAAAACCAAAAGAATAATGAAGATGATATTAAAATGTCTTTGTTTTTGAATTACAAATGTTACAACCATGAGAAGAGCCTAATAATAGCAATGCAATCCATTGGCAATCGATCAAGCTTCCATTGAACACAGTTGAGCTGCAAGCTTCACCACTCCCCACATGGCTGTGTCATTCTGCATAAACATAAACATTGACTACTCAAATTGATTCTAAAGAAACTCCAATCGGCTTGGTTATTGTCGAGTTCTAGCAACTCGAGCTATCGGACGAGCTGCATCCAAGTATCCTAATCTTGACTTGAGTAGCTCATAAGCCTAATCAAGTTGTTCCTTTTAAAAAATATATACATAATATGTGCATTTTATTTTTAATTAGTACTGGATTCCAAATTCGAATTTGAAACCGTGCTCAAGAACAAATAACAAGCTTGAAGTCAAACATGAGAATAAGCTTATTTTTAACTAGGTAAACAAGTCTAGTCGAGCTTAAACAAGAGAGCAAAATCAATTTGATCTCTATCTCGAATGGAGCTCTAGCATTCTACAACTTGAGTGGTTCGGCTCAAGGGACAGATGCAAAAATTTATGTTGGGGTGGGGGCAAACTTCTAAAAACGAACTTATAAAATTCTAGGGGTGCGAAAACAGATTTTCAATAGAAAATACATAAAAAAATCTAAAATATATGATAATTTTAAATTTTCAGGGGGCGATTGCGCCCACCCGCCCCCCCTTCAGTCCATCCCTTCAATTACGCCCCTAACAATGTCAATGTCACCTAGACACTTCGTTTACTCTACCGACTCACATATTTGAACAGATATACATAACCAAGTTCAGATAACAGATCACAATGCACGTAAACAGGAATGTCTACTTTCACACTTTATGATGGAAAACCCCACTTCCTCTGCCGGAAGGTATTGGAAAAGCTTTGCATGTCAAGAAACAGATATACAGACAATGCTTGGACATAGAATACTGAAAGGAACCGGATTGATCAAACAATGACAGAGCTTTGCCGGCAACACAAGTAATGCCAGAGACAGATGGGTTTCTCTCTGCAAAAGCTCATAAAGCACTCTTTCATGTTTCATTTAGGGATGAAAACATCCTAAAATGCTAATGTAGCAATCTACTGTTATATATGAGTGGAACTAGCTCCCTAGGCTCATATAACAACCAGGTATAAAACTTTAAAAATACAATCAAGAAAGGGATAGAGAGTTCCTGGATGGATGAAAACCTAGTAAGATTTGACTTACCATGTAAACAATATCGAAGGCATTACGGTAGCTCTCAAGGTTCTTCTCAATGTTGTCATTCCTGAAAAGTATTTCAAGGAGATAAGCGTTTACATAAATTCTTACCAAGAATGTAATCAAAACTGATCTCGAAGAATAAATGGCATCAGAATAAATATAATGAGGGGGAAACAAAAAAAAGGAAGAAAAAAAAAGAGAGCAGGAAAACAAACAGTGTTGACATTATCTGAATAGTTGCAACTAAATAACAGCATAGCAGAAACAACAAGTACCAGTTTTTCTTCTAATATAAACATTTTATTTGCAGGAGTTAAGGATAAAACAATGTTACACGGACTCGGGTGTAAGTGTCAGTATGGTTAATGTGTATGCCTCTGACACATTAATGTTCAAAATTTTCAGGTTTTTCCACGTACTTTGATACCCCACATCCATGCCGAAACATGTGTCGGACACAAATACTTCATGCAAAATGAAGAGTAGTAGCAAGTAGCAACATAGGGGTAAAGGGTTTTAATTGCCTATCAGCTATGTTAGTCACTCACATGTGAGTATAGGATACTGGTATGTGCCTGGCATGGGTATATTCAACTTTTCTAAGCTTTTCTATGTATTTGGAGAATTTGGGGAGGGTTATATCCTCATACCCATCTTCTTTTATAAGCCAGAAATAATTGTCGGACACAAGGACTTCAAGAAAAAGGAAAATTAGTCCTCTGCTTAACTGAGACATTGTCTTCAAACATACGAATATGAAGGGCACATATAAGTGTTTTACTTACAGAAATCCCACAGATATACGATTCTCATAATTCAAGCCATCAGACATTCCCAAATCACCAACATGATCACCTAGAAGTAGCACATTAGTCCTCTGCTTCACTGAGGCATTGTCTTCAGCAGGACCGTCAATTCCACCCATTTGATCATGAAGAGGTGCCGCCATATCAAGAGCATGCTCATTTTTATTCAGACTGTGAATCAACTTCCCTAGGCATAAAGGAGCGTGTAGGCAAATCAGTAAAAGTAACATTCAATGCAATTATCAGTTCATCAGTCATGTGTTTCTGTTCCATCATATTGTAAAAAATAAATAAATACTGCATGAACATACAAGATGACTAGATGGATGGTCCAAGTTTTATGAAACTCATATTAAGTATCCATCAATCACTTTTTCCACAGAAAAAAAAAGGATATCTTGAAAGGTATACAAAGACTTTTCCTTCCTTTAGCTGCTAGATAAAAGATTGTATGAAACAGTTACACCATGTTGATATATATCCTTCCATTCAAATTATGTTACAGAATTATACTTTTTATAAAGTCAATTACGTATTATAAGAATCATTAATGAACTGCTGAAATAAATATATAGCATTTAGTTATTACATGTAATGCATATTAACAATTGATTTTTCTAAAACTCTGATTACGTGATAAGACTTGAATGGAAGATATATGATGACCTGGCATAACTGTTTCATATGTTCTCTCTAGCTGTCAATTTTATCAAACAAGGCACCTCCCATAGCACAAATGTTTCTCAAGACTCAAGCAGTGATATAAAGCCAAAGTGAGAAATGCAAATTAGAAGATGCCATGGTACTGGAAAAGACCGATGTAAAAATAAATTCATCTGAAATATAATTTCAGCAATCTTTGAACAAATAAACATGGCAATATTAGGAAGAAGGGAAAATAACATTTGTTAATGTATTAGCAGCAATCATTTCAGCAGAAGACAATGTGAATAAAGGATACCTTTGAAAGATACAAGGTGACCACTATTGTCAAACAACATCTGGTTTGAGACAATCTTAATGTTCTTAAAAGATCTGTGAACTTTCTGCCTTAGGACCTTAAACAATAAGAAAAAGATGCAACGATGCATAACAGATTAGACCAGGAAAGGTTAAAATGCCTCTTCTAATAGATGACCACAAGTCCAGGAAAACAAAATCTGCCAGGCTAACCTCCTCTATAATATCTGCAAGCCCTGCTGAAAATATGAGAACCGGGACATCTCTCTCCTGAATATTCCAGAGGAAAAAAAGAAATTGAGGGAGAAATGGGGGAAAATCCAAGCCTTACAGACGCTTAATGCATCCGTACATGCAAACATACATATATAGGTTTAAAAGATTTTAATTTATTAAAACCCTCTTTTCTCTATTGTATTTCAATTCCCATGCATTATAGGATAGACTTTTCGATTTATCTTTAAAATAGATTAGATAGTCTGGCATGGAAGAAGAACTTTATTGCTTTCATATCTATAATTTCAGTGCCAGCAATTTAGGACTCTACTTCTTAAAATTCTGGCTATTTTCATGTACAGGGGCACAATAGCAATTATCAATTCCCTGAGGACGCAGAGAAGAAAGCCGTCTTCTATCACTATACAAATGAACTGAATATAAGGAATTGGAATTGGCATTTGGGAGCCACGTAATGATCTAGATTATAGATACAAACTATAGTTTTCTTCTCATTATTGAGTATCATAAAATATTCTTCACCCCAACAGTGTCATCCTAATAAATCAACAATGGGTGTATGCTGTAACAGCTAGAATTGAAGAGAGAAAGCAAATCACAGTTAGATAGTGTTTTGCAGAAAATATCTTCCCTACTTTTAACTAGCGGGGGGGGGGCATTGGTATTTACCAGTTTTACCATGACTTGTTGATGACAAATTCAAAAGACAGGATGACAGGAAAGGAATGTCAGAGTTGGTAACATCAGGAACCTTGGAGGGAACAATTTTCCAAATCATTGTGATAAGGAATGAGGGAACTATCTACAGTAGTTCTTCATTCAGTTTGCACAAAAAAGAGTTTAATAAAATATCCTGTTAAAACTTTCCGCTAAATATTTCACATGATCAACAATTCTTAATGCTTCTTCTTGAACAAGTATTTAGGGCAGTGGATTTGGATTTGGCTTTTCAAAAAAATTCAGAACTGTGTGACGCAACTAACTAGCCATCATAGAAAAATCAATAAAGATTCACCATACATATTTATTTAAAAGTGAATGAAATACATATAAATTTCAAAATTCTATTAAATTCACTCCATAAAGATCTAATAGATTCATGATTTTAATAAATGTATAAAAAATGTCATGAATCATGAAAATTGTACAACATTCAAAATCTAGATTCTTCCAGTAAATCGTATGGCACCAAAATGAGAGCTAAAAATAAACCAAAAAGGAAAGTTTGAAAGATACCTCCAAAAACTCAAAAAGTTCAACTACACCATCCCTAAAGGCAATATTAGAACTACCAACAGAGTTCTTTATTGCATCATATGTAAGGCCTCCTTCAATAAGAAGACCATGTGTTTTCCCCCACCTACAAGGGTTAGAGTAAATAGCATCAATTGTAATTGAAATCCAGACAGTGCAAGGCTAAAGACTTCTTTGTACTTGTTTAAATAAACAAAAGAATAATTTGCAAGAAACGTGAAATAAACCATTCCTATCATTCACATGCTCATATGCTACTAGAAGTCTAAAACAATGGGTGATTAACATACCATTCTTCCATGAGTTTGGTTTTCTCTTCAAGTGGAATTGTAGGAGAGAACTCTAATGGATGATAGTACTCAAATAACGCTTGCCTCTTGGCATCATACTCGGGATTCCCTTGCTTCAAAAGGCCATGACTGCCTATACATATTATATTAGAGCGGGGAAAAGGAAAAACCCAAAACCTGTAGATAACTTATGGTCATATTTATGATATAAAGATAGAATCGTAGAATCATGGTAAACCTACTTTGTCCTCGGTGCCCATTGATCCAGTACCTTGTTAAAGTTGCATCAAAATCCGCAATTACCTGCAACTCAAAATCTAACATTTTGAACCAAACGAGAATGAAACCTAGGCTCCAATCAATAGAGTTTTGTTTTTAAAAAAAATATATATTTTGCTTGCATTTTCTACTTAGTCTCTTTACTTCCTGAAGTTGATAAATAGCAAAAGAAAATGGTACAACACAATTGAATAAAAAGGAACGTCACTAAACTCCAAGAGAATTGCTTAAAAAGGCATAAAAGCGTGCAATTTTGCCCTTAAAAAAACAGGCATTTAAAACTGTTGATCACTGAAAAGCAAAATAGCAAACTAAAAGATCAACTATAACCAAGAGAGAGAGAGAGAGAGAGAGAGAGAGAGAGAGAGAGAGAGAAGAAACTAGGGAGTAAAATTGCAATCAATGAAATATGTAAAGCAGAGAAAACAAGCATATTGTTGGAAATTTAAAAAGAAAAAAGAAAAAAAAAAGAAATTACGAAGAACCTGGAGTTTAGAAGGGCCGGCGTTGTGAATGGCGGAAATTTTGTGGTTGAGTGAGTGAGTTTCATTGATAACGGTGAATTTGGAGAGATCGTGACCCTCCATTTCCAAATTCTTGTTGTTTTTACTACAACACCAAACCCTATTAAAGAAAAAGAAATTAGGAATTTGGTTGGAATTAGGGGGAATCTGAAGTTTGAAAAGGGCACTGCACTCAGTGTTGACGATGCTGATGGTGATGCTGCTGCTACTGCTTAGCCTGTAACTCATTTCAGCTCTTAAACTGTACTGAGTTTTTAAATGTTCCTTTTAAAGATTAAAGTTGTATTTTTATGCGTAAACTACGTGTTTAGTATCCAAATTATCATTATTGATTGGTTTTAGTACCTAAATTTTAAATTTTTTCAAAATCATATCTTACATTTAATTTTTATTTCATTTTAGTATTTTACCTTTAAAAAATAACTTATTGAGTACCTAAACTATCAATTTTAATCCGTTTTAATAGCTAAAGTTTCAGTTTTTTTCCAAAACTTAACATTAAACTTTTAATATGGTACTAAAATGAAACAAAAATTAAACATTATGTGTGGTTTAAAAAAATAAAAATTTAGGTACTAAAACAAGCCAAAACTGATATTTTAGGTACTAAACACGTAATTGACCCTATTTTTATAATATTTGCTTTAAACACAATTTGTTATACTTAGGTCCTTTTAGCTTTTTTGTCTAGATCAGGACCCAACATTATAATTTTTTTTCTAAATTGTTCACAATCCTAATAATTTTATTAAAAAAATTGCAATGTGATGCCTGTTAAAACATGTCATAAGATATTTTAAAACATGATATGTGAGATATTTCCATCTTACGCCCCCCTCCACCGAAATCAACAGGGGTGAACACCAACTCCAACGTTATCCATTAACAATGTTCTTTTGATTTTGTTAAACCATGTGCAAATGTAGTAGGAGACTGGGTTGCAAATCATGTTAGCAAGAAAGATTATGACCATAAAACTAGATACTGCAGATTCCAGATTCTCTTAGTGTTCTATTGTAATCTCTTTGAACAATATAATAGTGAAATACTCGGTTTATCCTCTTCTTTAAACAGGCGATATAATATATTCATTCATTAAGAGACATGTTAAATTATTTATATTTTAAGTTTATTAAAATATAAATAATAAAATAAAGGGTAAACTATGCAAATGGTCACTAATGTTTGAGTATGTTTTTGTTTTTACCATTGATGTTTCAAAAGTCACAAATCAGTCACTAACATTATCGTTTGTTACAAATTGATCACTCAACGCTAGCAATCATTAACGGCATAACGGAAATTACGGCTGAACCGTTATCTGCTTATCTAGATCATTGGCCGCCACAGTGAAAAACCGTTGAAATCTCATTTGACCATATTAAACTATTTTGACGGACTCTTCTTCACCCAACCTGAATTGGCATCCAGTGAGTTTCTTTAACTAATGCATGCATATTTCACATATAAAAACTTCACCTTTATTTCAAAAGAACACTGTAGAACTTCACCTTTATTTCAAAAGGAAAAAAAAAACCCATATTTTTTATAGTCCAACACCCATTTTTTGGCCTCTCTCTATGTTTTCATTTCCTCAGGAGTTTACCCATTTTTACTTCATAAACACCTATACTCCTAAATTTTGCAATTTCTTCTTCTTTTCTCCCTTTCCCCCTTATACTAGCACTGTTTTATTTGTGATGATCTATCAAATGTAGAGTGTTTTGTGGGTAATGTGATGCATGGTGTTTGTTTATTATGTGAAAAAAGGTTTTTTTTTGGTCGGTGGAGTTTTATTTAAAATTAGCTAATAGTAGAATATGTCCTTAAAACTGGTGACTTTGGTTAGGTTGAAGAAGAAGAAGAAAGGATTGGATTGAAGAAGAGCCGATCAAATGACATTTCAATGATTTTCTATTGTGTCAGTCAATGATACAGATAAGCAGATAACGACTGTTAACATTAAATGACCAATTTATAACAAATAATAACAATTAATGACCGATTTGTAACTTTTAAAACATCAATGGTAAAAATGAAAACTTATTTAAACATTAATGACTATTTACAAAATTTACCTTAAAATAAAGAACAAATTTTTTTCTTGAAAACAACAATATTAACTTTTGTACTTGACTTATTGGGCATTAATTTAATTAACTGATATAATACTATTGCAACAGAATTCAAATATTCATAAAAGCAATTGTCTTCAATTTAGAACTTAAAAAGTTGTAAATAATTTGATATTTATAATCTATATCAAAACAAAATAATAATAGTTAAGTCTAAACGAGCCTAATAAATGGATAAACATATTTTTTTCCGCAACATCACAAGGAAAAAAGGATGTATATCATAAACAAATAGGTCAACTTCCAAAGCTAAATCTTTCCATACGTTTTATCAGTTCCCAGAACATATATAGCAGAAGGATAAAAGACTAAGCAAACAACAACAATATTGAGAATAATATTTTCAAATAATTTTGTTAAACGTACATTCCACTTGGCACTTTCTGCCACCGGCATTTGTTCAATCATTGCTGAGCGCATTGCACTCTTTGGGCACCACCATGCATGTCATCATCTTCCTCGTACGCCTCTTGAGCTTGTGCCTGTTTCCTACGCATCTCTTCCTCGAAGTTAACATCATATAGAGTTGTTTCCTCACACTCATCCAGCTCCATATCAGTCAGCTGGACTGAGGTCCTTGGAGGTAGCACAGCCTCGAGTGCCTTGCACTGGTCAGGGGCCAAGGAGTCGGGAAAATCGACTGTGAAGTGAATGTATAGTTTACCCCTCATGAATGGCCTTTGATACACGGGCATTCCTTCATCATTTATGGCCTTGAATTGATCTTTGTATTGCAAAGCCGAAGTAAAGATTTAGTAACAATATCACATAATGATACCAGTTATAAAGATCAATATCAGCTAACAGATGGGTCATTATCCACTAAAACATAAAGAGACTTCTTGAAAAAAACGACAATATTCAACAACTACCGATACCACCAAAAAGATGAAGGATGCAAAGATTTTATCATTAAAAAAAGAATGCTGCAATTTATGCAAGTCGGCAGAAATTTGACACTTACTAGGCTTAATCACTTCACCAGGTTGGGTCTTAATGAGGAGTTGTCTGCCATCAAGGTGGGTCAGGATAAATTGGAAGCCACAGAGTGCCTCGGTAAGGGTCAATGTATGTTCTATAATTAAGTCATCACCCTTTCGTTTAAACTTTGAATGATCTTTCTGTTGGAGGACAAAGACGATATCCCCAGTGACTGTGTCAGGCTGCAAATAAGAAAGTGTTAACAAACAACCAAGTTACCGACAGCAAGAAAGCTGTATTCGACAATACGAAACAAAATGCTTCTGTTAAAAATCACAGAAAGAAAAGCAAAGCCAATTTATCGGCCTTACAGCTTCATCAGCTTCACCGGGGAAAGTAATCCTCTGTCCATTCTGCATACCCTTTTCAACAATAACCTCCAATACTTTCTTCTCTTGGACAACCTTATCACCTTTGCACTGTGGGCAGCGGTCCTTGTCATTGATGGTTTCACCGGTACCCTTACACTCATTGCAAGGGTGCTGCATCTGTTGGATCATGGAAGGACCAAGGTGCCTGATGGAGACTTTCATTCCTGAACCTTGGCAACCAGAACATTTCATCGATGCACCTGACTTAGACCCTTTACTGCAAGATTTTCACGAAGAAAAAATTCTGTTAAAATAGAACAAATAAAAGGCAGCCTAACCACTATTGATGCCATAAAAGCTAAATTGCAACAAAAACATTACTCAATTCAAAAACTTACCCCTTGCATTTGGAGCAAATAACATTGCGTGAAAGTGAAAGCTTTTTGGAAGTTCCATTATAGAGATCTTCCAAAGAAACCTTGAGGGGATGGACTACATCCTCTCCCCTTCTTTGTCTTCGACCTCGGCTGCTACCACCACCTGAACAGGCAACCAAGATTTCAGCTCAGAATGATGAAAATTCTATAATACTCAAACCACTGAAACAGAAAGAGAGAGAATTAATCAGAAATCTCACCACCAAAAGGATTGCCACCAAAGAAGGATTGGAAGATATCAAATGGATCATGAGCACCACCACCTCCACCCATTCCTTCTTTAAGAGCATCCTCCCCATACTGATCATATATCTCACGCTTCTCCAGGTCACTCAGCACCTCGTAAGCTTGAGCCAACTCTTTAAACTGAACTCCAAACACACAACCCACAATCAAACAAGATACTTTCTATAAAAGCTAAACAGCATACACCAAAAATTCAAAACATTTCCAAAAGAAAACCTTACAAACAAGATTTCCTAGTAATCCTGACAATACTGGACACAAATGGCATGCATGAACCAATAGGACATGGAAATAAGACGAACATTAAACATACAGGAATGTGGTACATATTTCATATAAATACCTTAAACACGATTATGAATGACACACAAACATAGTATATAAACAGGAGTTGCCATGTCTACTTTATAGACATAGTCAAAACCTAACATACTCTAAATCCAAAATTTTTACCATGTGCCAAACGCAACCATAATTAAACAAGCTACTCTCTAGACAAGTCAAAAACCCATGTTACTCTCCAAGTCTACATTTTGCTAACCTTTAAGCGGCATCAACACTAGAAATGTATCCATACAAGAATGTAGATATATAACACTACAAAGGCCCTATAACTACATGAAGAAAAAAAAGCTCTTCAGAAATATAATTGACCTATCCAACATTCACACCCAAGTCACTGTCCAAGAAGCATATAGCTCAAACCCGAATTTTTAGCCATTTCCAAAACACAAGCATAATCGAACAAGCTACTTTCTAGACAAGTCAACAACAAGATGGTTTAAACCGAACCATCCTGGATCAAACGAGACTTCAATTCTATCAACCTTTCGACCCAATCTATGACCAATTACTTAAAACGAAACATGGAATTCAAAATGAACTAGATCAGAGCATATTATAATAGATTAGTTCATAACCCGCTCCAATCAACAAATAGAATCGACGAATCAAACAAACCCCAGATTATTAAAAACACAAAATCAGTATAAAAAAACCAGAAAAAGTTTTTTTTTAAATATCAACCTTTTCAGGATCACCACCCTTATCAGGATGATTCTTAATCGCAGCTTTTCTATAAGCCTTCTTCAAATCATCTTGGGAAGCGTTCTTGGGCACTCCCAATATTTCATAGTATTTAGTATTGTCGCTTTTCTTTGGCGTTCTCCCAAACATCTTTTTTTATCAGATCAGATCCTAAAATCAAACAAAAAAATCAGTAAATACTCACAAAAACCAGACTATAAAAAATATGGGAGGGTTGAAGAGAGCAACAAGAGAGCACGAGAGACGGCTAGGGAGAGAGAGAAAGAGGGAAGGGTTGAAGGGAGGTATGTTTGTGGTTAGAGATGGAGTTATAGGGGGAAATGAACGGTCGATATCTAAAGTTGAATCACTTTAGAGAGGTAGCTGAAAGGTGGATGTTTGTTTTACGCTCGTTTTGGAATTTGGTTGCATAGAAGGATCTAGAATCCTACACTCAACGCCTCTAATTAAAATTTGGATAAACTATATCGTTTAAGTTTAGTATTTTTTATTAAATTAAAAAAATATAATATTTTGTAATCTTTATTTTTATTTAATTAAAATGTAATTATTTATTTTATCAACTTTTAAATGTTTAATATTTGAAATTTAATTATTGTTGGTGTGAAAACTAAAAAAATGATCGTATATTAATTAAATAAAAATAAAAATGATAAAATATTATATTTGATAAATTCAACAAAAAAATTATATAAAATTTAAACGAAAGTTATCAATATTATAATTAATTCTTAAAAAATTTTACACAAATCAAACCTTAAATTTTTGCCGGGCCAATGATTCACTCCTTTCTTTTAAGCCTTTTCCCAATAAATAAATTTAATAAAAAATAAAAAATATATATTATTAAAAATAAAATAATAATATAATCCAACCAAAGTTAAATTTAATTACTCATTTATAAATATAGACAAAATTTAAGTTTTACACTTTGAATTTAATGATTTTTTAAATAATTTTATTTAGAGAAGTGAGAGAATAATTTTGTTCTTAATATGTATTAAATTCATAATCTAAGAGAAGAAATGTATTAACCGAGAAATTTTAATTACATATTATTGATATTGATGATCGAATTTAACTAATTTAAACAAACATAAAATATATTAATTCATATATAAACATGGTTTTACAAGTAAAATAAAATACATACATTAAGTCAATATGCGTTTGATAACAAACAAATCGTTAAAAGATATACAATTCAATTAAAATATTATCACAAACATATCGTTATCTTTTAAAATTAGGGTAAATTATACTATTCCTCGTTAAATTATATTTTTCTCCTATTTTCCTCTCTCCTATTTTCTTCACTTAACTTTCATTTTTTTAATTTGCTCATTGAGTTTTACAAATTAAATCATTTTGCTCACTCTCTCGTTAATTATTTAATAGTGTTATGACATGACATAAGAAATTACATAAGCAACATAAAATCTTCATTTTTTATATTTTTCCTTTTTCTTTCCACTCATTTTCTCTCTACTTTGCAACTGTTTGTCGTTGTCAGCCACCACATCATTTTCATTTCGACCACCAGCCATCATCGTTGATGGTGGTCGCCCGTTCTCAAATTTCATAGGTTAATTCATCTCGACCTCTTGAGTCTGAATCTAGTGGTTGTTTCACCCAAAAATATCTCAAAACCCGTTAATCTGGGCTGAAACATTTCGACCACATCATTTTCATTTCGACCACCAGCCATCATTTACCCTTAATTTTTAAATTAGTGACCAAAGTCGGTCAGACCCTAAACAAAAGGGACTATTTGCATAGTTTACCCTTTATTTAATAAATCATAAATTCAAAAAACAATCACGTGCGAATAGTTTTTCTCAATTACAGAGAAAGTCCAAGCGCAGGCACTCGTATAAACAAGAATACGAAGACCACACAGCGGCACCCAATTCCCAAACTTATAAATCTTTCCTTAATAATCCAAACCATGTTGTCTTTCTATCTATAGAAATGTTCATCCACCAAATACCCTTTTCCACAGTCCCTTACAATGTCGCCATTCTCTCGCCTTCTTCGAATTTTCGGCGACACCCGAAGCATTTCCAAAGGCAGAGCACTCCACGCCAAGATCATCATATCCGGGGTTCCCCGAGATATTTACACCAACAATCATTTGCTGGCAATGTATGTGAAACTCGGCCGTATTTTTGATGCACGTAAAGTGTTCGATGAAATGCATGAAAGAAACGTCATTTCCTGGACGGCGTTGATTTCAGGATATTCTCAAGCTGGTATGGCGGAAAAGGCCCTAGAATGCTTCAGTTTGATGGTTAATGATGGTATGGAGCCAAACTATTATACCTTTGTTAGTGCTGTCTCAGCTTGTGCTAGCATAGGTTATGATAGAGCTGGGAAGGAAGTTCATGGGAAGATTTATAGGAGTGGAGTGGATTTTAGTACGCCTGTTAGTAACAGTTTGATTAATATGTATGGAAAATGTGGGTTGTTGAAGTCAGCTCATTTGGTATTTGATAGTATGTTGGAGCCGAATTTGATTTCTTGGACTTCAATTCTTTCTTGTTACAGTCAATGGGGAGAAAACTTGAAGAGTTCGAAGATTTTCGTGCAGTCGATAAGGGTGGGTGTGAGAACTAATGAGTTTGCTTGTGCAAGTGTTTTGAGTGCATGTGCAGGACTGGAAGACTTGAAGTTTGGAATGCAAATACATTGCTTGGTGGTTAAATGCGGACATGAGTTCGACAAATTTGTTGAGACGGGGTTGATTAATGTTTATGCAAATTGTAGAGACCTGAGTTCGGCTTGTCAGGTGGTTTTGGAGGTAAACCAATCAACCTTGGCGGCTTGGAATTCGTTAATTGGAGGGTACGTTCAACAAGGCAAGAGAAGAGAAGCCATAGATATTTTTCTTAAGCTGCACTCTTCAGGAATCAAGCCTAGTGAAAGAACATTCTCTTCTATACTTGGAGCCGGTGGTAATGCTGAAAATATTGAAGTTGGTAATCAGCTTCATTCTTTAATCATTAAAATGGGATATAATTCATTTTTAATTGTCAGAAATGCTGTTCTAGATTTTTACTCAAAATGTGGGCTTCTTCAGGAATCATTGAGAACTTTTGAAAATATGGACGAGCGTGATATAGTCTCTTGGAATTCGCTGATCTCTGGGTATGTTGGGTCAGGTCAACTTGAGGATGCCATCAATCTCCTGAAAGATATGTTATTTCAAGGATATAAACCCAATATTTACACATATTCTATCATTTTGAGTGTATGTAGTGATTTCCCAGCTATTGAGTGGGGAAAGCAGACACATTGCTGTATCATTAAACCTGCATTTGATTCCAATGTCGTTGTTGGAAGTGCCCTTATAGATATGTATGCAAAGTGTGGGGTACTGAATGCTGCTCGGAAAGTTTTTGATTCTTTAACTTCTAAAAATTTGGTTTCTTGGAATACTATACTTACAGGATATGCTCAACATGGATTTGCGATTGAAGCACTAGATATCTATAGTATGATGCAGAGAGGTGACGTCAAACCTAATGACGTTACATTCATTGGGTTATTATCAGCTTGTGCACATGCTGGTCTTTTAAAGGAAGGTTTGTCCTACTACGATTCCATGATTAGGGACCATGGTATTGTTCCAAGGCTTGAGCATCTAGCTTCAATTGTCAATCTTCTTGCTCGTAAAGGAGAAACTAGAAGAGCTTATGAGTTCATAAGGAGTTTCCCTATGGAGCCAAGTAAGGTGGTTTGGAGATGTCTTTTATCGGGCTGCAAAATTCACAAGGATCTAGTCTTAGGAAGACTTGCCGCAGAGAAAATTTTGAGTATTGATCCAGAAGATGCTTCGGCTCATATTATGCTATCAAATATTTATGCAGAGGCCAAAATGTGGGATGAAATACCGCTATTGAGAAAAATCATGAAGGAGAAGGCAATGAAGAAAGATACAGGATGTAGCTGGACAGAATTGAAGAACAAGATGTATTCTTTTTCTGCAAGTCAATCTACACAATATGAAGGGGTCGACCTAATCGAAGTTTTAAATCAGTTGACAATCCATTTGTTCGATGCAGAATATCTTCCTGATAACTCGTTCAATTTTCACAGTGAGAAAGAGCTGAGTCTGTGAAATGGAGAAAATCTTACTGCCATAACTTTTCATTCTATTAGATGTATCTTATTTTGGTATACACAGATCTAGAAAGACGTACACCAGGAGAAAGCAGGCAAAAAACACCTGAAAGCTGAGATCTTTCATCAATTATGGCTTCAAACAGTATGCAAGTATTCTTGTTCATATCAGAACTTAGAACTGTCTGAATCAGATGCCGTCATTCCATGCAGAATGCTGTAAATGAAGCAACGTCAAGTTGTCAGAATACGCAGCACACAATTGATGAACTGACACTGGTCGAAGCTTTAGGCAGCGGCATAGCTGGCTGTGAGGTTGGTTGATGTACTCTGGAGTTCGTACTCTTTAGTTTCATGGGGTAGGCTGAAAATGCTCTAATTCTAAGTCCTATGCTTGTTCTTTTAAATTTTGAAGGTGGTGGGTAGCCAAATTGGTAAGAAGTCGCTTCCTTTTGTTGATTTGATCAATTATTGAATTTTGGAAGTTCGTCTAATTAAAGGATCTTGCGAATAATGCAATTTAATTAAAATATAAATAATAATTAAAATCATCAAAATATATTGTATTCGTGATCTACAATCCTACATAACCAATTTAAAGTTTTCCTTATATTTTGAGTGTGACAAATAAAAATGTGTCGAATACAGATTTATTCACATTCAAATAAAACGAAACCAAAGTTTATTCATGTAGAGCAAAACAGATACTTCTTGGTCTTCATATCAATTCTAAATAAACATGTATGCTAAGTATGCCCTACTCTTATTTCCATTTACCAACTAACTTGATTAAACTCCTTTTAATTCTTAATCATATTGGAGATGAACTTAATATTTTACTGCAATTGATAACTCAACTCTTCCAACTCTTCTAAATTATTCCAATCACAGTTATTTTCATCCGCCATGCTTTCGACCAAAGCAAGTTCCTTCTCTAGCACTTCGTTTTTCTTTCGTTGTTTCTCTAACCTATCATTCAACTGCAATATGTTTCTTTCGAGAACAATGGTTTGGTCCATCATGTTCTTACCTCGTTGCTGTTCCGGTAAACTCTCGAACTTCTCGAGAATTCGACACGCTTCGGCTTGGGAAGGCCAAACATCCGGCCGTGCATCATAAGAAGTGAAGATTATAGCGCAAGCAGGAACGTCGCACAGGGTTGTCAGTTCACTCAGCTTCTTCAGCAGCCCAGCCTTTCGCTTCTTTAGAGTGGTTTTCCTGGCAAATTCGTTGGTAATCAGCTCGTACGTGGTCTTCTTTCTGCCCATGGTTGAGAATACAGGGAAAGAATTAACGCCGCACGCATACTCCATTATGGGAAAATTACAAATATAGATGGATGGTCATGAGCATATATGGTTAAATATCACAATGTGGTAATATGGTAATGGAACAGCTCATGGCTTTTTCATGGTAGTATTGTAACAGATAAACGGATAAACTTTCAAATATAACAATTTTAAACGACACGAAAGTATTCCGAGTTACGGTGTTTTCATGTATGAGTATATGGTATGCAATTTAAAATGGACAGCTAAGGAAAGATTTTACACCATTTATGTAAATATACTAATATGCGCTTACATTTACTTCGGCAATTAGCCAAATGATGCTAAGGAAAGATTTTACATTTACATTTACTTCGGCATTTAGGAAAGATTTTACATATTGCCACTAATAAACTAGTCGAACGTATTCACAAATGGATGATTTCCCCCCTCATTTTGTTTAATTACATTTAGATTTATAGCTTGACTGGGATGGAAAACTCCACGGGCAAGTTCTGGCATCCTATTGCAATTCACAAATGGATTCTGCTCTTTCAGTTAGCATGCAAATAATTGTCCATCTCAATGTTCAAAGTATTGTTATACTCGCAAATAGTCCACTTGCTAGGCTTTATGTTAAAATAGTAGGACGAAGCAAATATACACAGCGCTTGCATATGTGCCAACGTCACAGTAACTCACTTTGTTTTCATGCATTGCCAAGTATGCAAATCACATCTAGAAGTTCGGGCGTTGTGTGTCTGGGAAAGAGAGAAAGCTCTACTCACCAGATTCAAAGTCGAAACCTTCAGGATAAAAATTCTAGTTATATAGACTGATAATATAAGCTGAGAAAAGCATGTTCTCATGTTCTGAACTTTATTGTCTACTCTGCATACACATGCTCAATTAAATAAGCATAGGCATGCATACCTGTTTTTCCACACACTTTGCATTTACAGATGGCTTATCTCATATGCAGAGTTTTGTGTCCAAACAGCTTTCATTAATATGTTTCTCACATTTCTATTTCAAGTTTCATATTTCATTTCCTATAACTCCTCCAATTCAGTGCATTTTCGTTCTTTCGGATTCATCACAAGCAGTAATCTCTTTCAAGGCAGCAATTCAACAAAACCTCTTGCTGCTACCAGTAAATTTCTACAAGAAGAAGAGCCATCTAGGAAATAACAAAAGAGTAATTAGATCTCTGGGATTATTTCTCTCATTTCCACCTTTCACAAGAGCTTTGATTATCATCTGACAATCAGGACAGGATTACAAATGCTTCATCACCCTAGCAGGAAGTAGTTTTTGGTGATCGAGTAAGTCTGAAAGTTATTGGCAATTATCTGTTATAGTTCGTTGATAACTCTCTAAAAGAATTATCATTTTAACACTTTATACCTAGGTTTATCTTAAAATTGAGTATGTTTAAAAGCATTTAGGTTTAGTTTAGTCTTATATTTATATATTTTACATTGTTAAAAGTTTGGTTAAATTGGACTAATTTCTGGATTTTTCTGCTGAAAAAGGTGTAGATGTTGCAGCGTTGAAGCGGATACTACAACAATTGATGACTCACTAGGCTGGGCAGAACTTTCTGGAACGGGACAGCTGGATGGGACAGTTGTATCCTCTCCAATCAGCTGCTGCTACGTGGTAAATCATCATTGGAGACGATTTGGCCTCCTCAACCTATAAATAGGACCATCCTTAGCTCATTTGATCATCAACTTTTCATCTTCTCGTTTTTCTACACAAGTTTCTCGTTCCTTCTCCATGGCTTCCTAAGCCGCTCAGTTGGGGAGTGCTACAGCATCTGGGGATCAATCTTCGTCGAGCAGTATCGGCAATTAGCAAGATCGCTTTAGCTACTTAGACTTCACCTGAGATAGTGAAGTTTTAAATAGTTGAATCTATGTATTTGTGGATGCTGAATGTTCTAAACTTAGCCGTTTGGGTGGAAACTGTCTTTGTGAATGCTTTTTGAATAGTGAAAGAGATTTCATTATTTAAGTATGTTATTATTTTGTTTAGAGATAAATTGAATGATATGCATGTTAATTTCTTGGTATTGTGAGAATAAATGCATGTTGAGATATATGCCTCCAAGTGTTTAGCATCATTACTATGTGATTGTTTGTCTTAGTTAGCGCTAATCCATATTAATCCGTTAATAGTAATTAATGTTAAATACATTATAGTTAAATTAAATGCATGAACTTGACAAAGAATCCCTTTTAACATCTTACTCCAATTGATAGTTCACTCTGTGCTAAATCCTATGATGTAGCATGACTGCCTCTATTCAATTATCTTTTCTCTTTTAATAATTGTTTCATTTATATGTCAATTCAACCAACACTTAATTTTCTAATCCAATTGTAAACTTTTCTGCTGTCTGTGAGTTCTATCTCCGAAATCTCAAAAGGATTTTCACCTTATTACTTGGTGACGATACATATACTGACGTGATTGCTATAGCATTCATCACAGAGCTCCATTTGGCTCCGGGAGTAATCTTCTCAGCAACATACTTGAGTTTCCTTGTTTATCCAAAATCTTTTCCAACCTCAACTGGTTTCAACTTCATAAAAATTTATGCTTTCAAAGTATCTGCAATATCAATAGGTAAATCTCTTATGATGACTAAAAGTGAATAAATAAATAATCTGCTTGCCCGGAAGGTTGAAAAGGAGGATGGCTAGACAAACATAGTGCTTACGGGATAGATAAAAGAAATTCAATAACACATGGCCACAACACTAAGCATCCATGAAACCTATCCATGGCCACTTTTAATGGCATATCTGAAAACCTGATCACCCAATCTTGCTGTTGCTAAATCTGCACAAGCACACAACATATTCAACAAAATGAACTCATCTGGTGGCTGGTCATCCTACAGATGCCAGCAATCATGGATGCCCCCGAGACAAACCTCGCTTCCAAGTATGTACATAATGGAGTTCATATTTATGACACATCAAACTTCTAGTGGAAATGCATCTTATTAATAAACATTTAACCTTAACGTTATTAAAAGAAAAAATTATATTAAATCCACCTTCCAAAAAAAATTGTGTACAGATTTGAATTGATATCCAAATTCCCCCCAAATTCCGTATAATATCTTCATCAATTACTAGCTAGTTCAACAAAAACCTTGATAATGCATTTACAAACTGAATGTAAAATTTTTGTCCTACATGAAAGGGAAACAGAACTTTTAAGGTATATCTACTTGGGGACTTTATCATCAGAAGTTGAAGCCTTTCTAACAGATGTACCAGAGTTAGCTGATTCTTCATTTTCAACAAGCTTGCGGAGTCTTCCTTGCAAGGCTCGAACTCGATCCTCAGTCTTTCGAAGTTTTCTGTATCTGTAAATAGTCCAAAGTGCCAAACCGCCATAAACAAGCGTGTAAGACGCCCACACATAAGGATATGTTTCAGCATGCTCCTTGATTTTCCGATATCGTTCCTGCACCAGTTCCGATATGCTAGTTAGCGGATTAGTCGTAGTTTCCTGAGACGCTTCCCCTTCTCGCTGAGTCGCCATTGTCGGCCTTCTACAGTTATCAAACCCTGCTAATTATGCAAACGGTATAGTTAAGGTTTTAGATATCAAATGTATAATAAGTCTTATGATCAAAAGTTCAATAATTAATTCGGAAGGATATCTTAACCTTTGTTGCTCGGACTCGCCGGTATCGACACGCACTGAAACAAGTGACAGGACGAAGCTCGGAGAAGAAGAAAAGGCGGAGATAGTGAAGAACCAGAAGAAAAGGGGAAAATGAAGGAGGAGATGGCGGCGGTGGCAAAAGAAATTGAAACAAATAAATAAAATCGGGGTTGAAAACGGTCAAAATATTTTGGATTTTTCAAATTTGATTCTAACAATAAAATAAATCTAACAAGCATAGTGGGATGAAAATTTAATTTATATGCAATTAGGAGTTAACTTTTCATTGTTTTTGAAAAATGACATTACAAAGTATTCTCTAATGACCAGAACAGGGGATACATTTACACCACGATTTTGGATCAGAAGAGAGATTTAAAAAAATGATAGATCTATTTATTCTATCAATAATCGAGCCGGATCTGGTGTATCATAAGGGATTTGCCTTTTCTGTTGATTCCTACGGATTGGATAAAAACAATTCTTGAAAGGTATTCAACTCTAAGGATGAATCAAAAAAAAATCTTTATGGGTTCTACCTCCTGTTTTTATGAAGAAAATGAATCTTTTTATAGAAGGATAAAAAAAAATGGGTTCGGATCTCCTGCTGGAATGATTTAGAAGATCTAAAACAAAAAATAGTGGTATTAAATAGAAATATATAAATAATATAAAAATAATATAAAAATAATAATAATTAATAATATTAAATATTAATTTAAATATTAATAAATTCTACATAAAATATATAAGTAAATTAGAAGATATATTAGAATATATAATAGAATTAATATTCTAACATCTAATATAAATTATATATATAATATAAAATAATTTTAAAACGTTGTTTTTAAAAATATAAAATTTAATATTATTATCAAAAAATATTTTAAAGAAAATAAAATTATTCTTTGTAATAATAAAATTTAAAGTAAATTATTAACACTGATTCAAATCTCAATTTTTTATATGCTCAAAAATTCGAATTTAATATTTATTTAAATGATATTAATCTAATTATCACTAAAATAAACCTCATCGATCATAATCTCAAATTTTCGGAATATTCATTCATCTACAATTGGTTTACATAAACTAAATTTTTAAATATTTTATTGATTATAATCACAGTTGGAGCGGCGTGAGTGAATAAAGAATTCAAAACTATTACTAATGAACTTTCTCAAGCATAAACCAAAATCAAATCCACTGTTTATTCATTCAATTATGTATAAAAATCAGTCTCTTCACTAGTTCACTTCTTTCAAACCCTCACTATAAGATCACCGTAGCCACTTCCACCAACCCTCCGCCGATTCTCAACTCTCCTTCCCGCCATGCGCCGCTTCTCTCTAATCCCAAGCCTACGCCTATATTTCCTTCATCCTTCTTGGCCCCTGCTCGCCTCATGATGACTACGGTGTGGTGGTTCCGCACGAGCCGCCGTCGTTGTCTTCTTCTCTTGCTTTGCTCCCCTCTTCTGGTCCCCATTCTCTGCGCTACTTTCCCTCTGCTTTGTTTGGCTGAAGTCTTCTTTCGGATTTACCGGAGGAGTAGCAGCGGAAAAGCTACGGCGGCGCAAGAAGATGAGGAGAACCGGTTGCGGCAGTGTGAAGAAGGTTGTTACGGCGACAGAAAAGCGATGGAAGCTTGGCTGTTGCAAAGGTATTTGGAAGATCAACTGGCACTCGTTGGATCTGTTTATGATTGCGGCGATGATTTAGATGATCAAGATCTTGACAGTAAAAGACCACTTTTGAGCTGATTTTAGCTGTTGCTTCTTTTACTCTGTGTAAATTATGCCATTGATTTTAATTTTTGACTTCTCTTTTCTCCTCTCGAAATTTAGAACGACTGTTTGTCGCTCTGATTTGAACAGTGAAATTTAATAATAAAATATCATTAAATTTATTAAATGGTTGTAAAATATCATTAAATTATTATTAAATAACTCTAACGATTATTATAACGTTATAAGTTTTAATCAAACAAAGATGAGAGTCACGTTTTACATGTGAATATCAATATGGCCAACAATAAAATTTAGAGTAAAATATAGTAATGGTCATTGAATTTTTCTAAAGTTTTCATTTAGGTCTTTCAACTTTTAAAATTTACAATACAGTCTTCTAACATTTATTCCGTTTGCAATATGGTCCCCCAACAGTTGCAACGGGGACCATATTGCAAACGGAGTAAGTGTTGGAGGATCATATTGCAAATAGACTAAATGTTAGAGGATTGTATTATAAATTTTAAAAGTTGAGGGACCTAAATGAAAGATTTGAAAAAATTCAATGACCATTACTATACTTTACCCTAATTAATAAACGAAATTGAAAATGAGGACGAAGAGAAGAGATGCGAATGTGATGTTTATGGCCATAAAATTTTGCAAAAAAAGACACAAAAACACAAATAAATCCCCATCTCTAGACATTAATAATTTATAAACTACCAAACCCCAACAATTGACGCATATTGACGCATGCAATTGATTTTTTTAATTAATCATTTAGTATTTGATTTATTGGTCGACTAATCTAAATTGAATATCGTAGAGACGAGGATGATCATTCAAACATAGTTTGTTCTATTATCAAATGTCATAGTTCGAACTCCTAACCTTACTTAAAAAATCTAATGGCTCATCCCACTAAACCAACTGATTGTAGTTACGTATGCTATTAATTAATACACCAACAAAGTATAAATCTTCAAATTGGTATTTTCTTCATAAATAAAACCACAAAAAGCCATTTGGAAACCTTAACGATTATTCTTTGCTGTCAAGTATAAATCTTCAAATTGGTATTTTCTGTCAAGTTCACAGCCATAGACGCCATAGCAGATAAGCGCAACGATGGCATCACTCCATGAAAACATCATCCGACAACCCCTTCTTCAACCACAAACTTCGGACATGAAATCCGAGACGACAAGTTTGGAGCTGGAGAGTGTTTTGTCGGACGCTAACCTTTCCTTGTTTAAGCGTTTGAGAAAAGCAACATGGATCGAGTCGAAGCTCCTTTTCCACTTGGCAGCACCGGTTGTTATCGTATACATGATCAATTATCTCATGTCTATGTCCACCCAAATCTTCTCCGGCCACCTTGGTAATCTTGAACTAGCCGCCGCCTCCCTCGGAAACACTGGCATCCAAGTCTTTGCTTACGGCCTCATGGTACGTACTTTCATCAACTTTTCTTTTTCATATGACGGATTTTCAAAGATTGAATCTTGACACTCAAAGACTGAATCTTGATCATGATAACTAGAAACAAAAACCCAATACTTTATGAATAATCTCAAGGGTGTACGTATAATTATATATATATGATGACATGATGAACTTTGTTTTATGATATTTATGACGTAGTTAGGAATGGGGAGTGTAGTGGAAACACTTTGCGGACAAGCCTTTGGAGCACACAAATACGACATGTTAGGCATATATCTTCGCGTACACCATAAATTTCCCGATACAAAATTTTCTGCAGGCTCAGAGCATAGTGTGTCCTAGTGCTTACATATCCACAGCCACATTAATCATACATCTACTGATAAGTTGGGTTGCGGTGTATAAAATGGGGCTTGGTTTGTTCGGTGCGTCGTTGGTGTTGAGCTTGTCGTGGTGGATCGTGGTGGTTGCTCAATTGGTATATATAGTTAAAAGCGATAAGTGCAAATATACATGGAATGGGTTCAGTGGTCTGCCGGGATTCTTCAAGTTATCGGCGGCGGCGGCGGTGATGTTGTGCTTGGAGACTTGGTATTTTCAGATTATGGTTCTGCTTGCAGGGTTGCTTGAGAACCTAGAATTGGCTCTGGATTCACTCTCCATTTGGTAAGTGCAAATCAGAAATACATTACTATTTAAGTCTTAACAAACTGGTATTATAAAATTTAGGGTAAAGTATAGTAATGGTCACTGAACTTTTTTAAAGCTTTCATTTAGGTCCTCCAACTTTTAAAACTTGCAATACAGTCTCCCAACATTAATTCCGTTTGCAATATGGTCCCCTAACAGTTACGTCGGGGACCATATTGCAAACGGACTAAATGTTGGGGGACCATATTGCAAACAGACTAAATGTTGAGAGACTGTATTACAAGTTTTAAAAGTTGAGGGACCTAAATGAAAGCTTTTGAAAAGTTAAGTGACCATTACTATACTTTACCTTAAAATTTACAGTAGGATATTGGTTCATTATCTTTGATAATAAAGTTATTAGAATATGATATTACTTGGAAATATCGTATTTATTTGGTTTATTTAAGGAATATAAGATTAAAATATCTAGTTGAAAAAATATAAGATTATTTGAATACATATTTTATTAAATTATATATATGATGTATGTTTTTAACAAGTAAAATTTTAATATTAAATTATTAATATTTAAATAAAAATTCATAGCAATATTTTAATTATTACACTACCTAACTTTTAAAAAAGATACATTTAACATATAGTTAATATAATAAGTATATCAAACTTATATTTTCAAATATTTTTCATAAATATCATATTTATATATATAAAATATAAAAAATATAATATTATGATCTCGAGTGAACAAAGATGTCATTTTTCAATGTATAAGATATATATATTTTAATAACTCAAAATTCGATATTATTTTAAATAATTACATATTTTACAATCATCTTTTCATCTCATAAAATTATAAATGATTAATATATTAAATATTAAATATATAAAAAATTAACTACTCAAATTTATTAATATTTTATTATATCAAGTTATATATATATTATGTTTACAATTTTAAGTAAAGCACAAATAATAAAATTGAGAAAGACTCGTACGAAAAAATCATTATTCTAAGGATATTATTGTCCAAATTAGTAAAAATTGTATAATACTTGGGGGGAGTTTGGATGGAGGATTTTAACATTACTGGTGGGAATATTTTTTTCCTACTTGTGATTCTCATTTTTGGATGGACAATATTTTTAATAGGGGGTAATATAATGTGACCAACATTAACTAATCCCATGGTGGCTTAGGTATTTTTTGTTTCCCTTCAACTTAGACTAAAATGTCTTTGTCCTAAAAGGTTTATTTAAAAAATACCCTTATATTTCAAAAGCTATAGTATATTATCATAAATTTATTAGCATAACTTTATTTCAAAAATATTCCCAACCGGGAATTTTATTTATTTATTTATTATCATAAATTTTTAAATATTAATTAAAATTAAAAAAAATGATATATTTACTCTTTTAATCTACACATTTATCTTTTAAATTTTGTAAAAAAATTATATAAATTTTATGAATTTAAAATTTAATAAAAAATATATATAAATTAAAAATAATACAATAATATATTTTCTATAAATTTTTATATAAATATTTGGAATTCAACTTGTTAAAAAAATATCATAAGGACAATTTAGTAAAATATGCATTCCAATAATATTTTATTCCTTTAACCAAACACTGTAATCATACATTCCTGTCAAACAAACCAAACACAATAATATAACATTCCCAGTAATGTGTAAGGTAATGTAACATTCCAGTAATCTTATTCCCGAAAATAATATTACATTCCATGAACCAAACGCACCCTTAAGAATTTGGAGAATGACATTCCCACCCTTTTAACACAAAACTACTAGTATTGATAATAAGTTATTACTTATTAATGATCTTTTTCACGAACCAAACGTGAGAATATAATTCCGAAAAATATTATTCCCTTTATTAACGATATTTTCATGAACCAACCCCCCTCTAATAGTAAAAGGAAAATCCGTCGACTTTATATGTAGTATAAATACTTTAAATACAAATATGATAATATGTAATGACAAAATACACGCCGAAACATGAATACCCAAATTTCCAACTCGAATGACTCAGGCTTATTATAGCTCCCAACCCCGAGATGTAAAAATCAATTAAATTGCACTGGTAATTGAAAGTTAATTCTGCACAATATACTTACAAAGGCATGATCCGTCCAACTTCATCATGCATATTAGCCCATCATCCAACTGCGGACAGATGCTCGAGGAACGGTTGGCAAGCCAAGTTCACCTTCACCCTGCAGAGCATCCAAGTTAAAATAAAAATTAAGATATTATAGTTGGGAGATTAGATTCAAATTCAGATCTCAAGATTTAGATATTTCGGCACCTCAATCAGTTATAGCTCTCTATAACTAACGTGAGCTCGACAAAGCAGATGACCATTGGTGGAAATACAAAAAACTTAGGGACTTAGAATAGAGAAAATGAGCTCCTTGGTTGCGAGTGTCCCATACATACCCATGTTTGATACAGGTATGCTAAATTTTCCAAGATTTTCATGTATATCTAAAGTCCTTCCGACGACCACATGCTCATACATATGTCTGATTATGTGTTAGGTTCGGGTGTCAGACACGTACTTCGAGAAAAATAATGAGTTCTAGAAACATAGATTTTTCTCATATAGTTAAAATTGGGATAGTGCCGGAAAAGTGGACAATAAAATTTGAACAAAATGCCTATTTGCATCGAGCAGCAAAAGAATGATAAACAGTACGTATATCTTGATTCTCGTATTGGATGCTAATACAAAACTTGACTAAAATTGGAGGGTATTTAAGTTTACCTGGGCATTAGCCCTACCAGCTGCTGCTGCATTTCCTGATGGAGCTGAAGGTAAATTGAGCTCTGCAAACAAATCCGGTTCCTCCTTGTCAGGTTGAAGATATGAAGGAACGCCATCAGCTTCAGTTCCCATGTCAGCTTCCAAAGCATCAAGTTCTGCCATCAAAAAAGGATTGATGGCAA